TATCTTTATTAATTTTTTTCTTTTTCTTGCTCTGGGTTTATCTTGTTCCTCTTTTTCTGGTTTCTTAATGTAAGAATTTAAGATATGGATCTGAGAGCTTTCCTCTTTTGAAATGTAAGCATTTAGTGCTATAAATTTCCCTCTCAACACTGCATTAAATGCATCCTACTTATTTTGTCATATGTATTCATAATTACTTTTGTGACTTCTTCCATTGTGTTTTACTTTCATAGGCACCTATCAAATGGTTCTTTCTAAACTGTCTACTGATTATGTCTTGGTTTTCATATTGAATTTTTTTTATTTTGATGTGTGCTGCAAAAGAAAATGGCAACTCTTTTTGTATAAAAGAAATATGTCAAAATAATCTCAAACAATTAAAATATACTAGAAGCCTGGTGCATGACACTCCTGCACTGGGGCAGGGAGGGGGTTTCTTTCAGCCTGGCCTGTGCCCTCTCGCAGTAGGGGACCCTTCAAAGGATGTCTGTGGGGAGTGAGACTAAGCCAGCAGGTGAACATCCCCCAAGGGATCGTTGGTGCTGCTGTGGAGAGACTATCACTGTACTTACCAGCTGTCAACCCAGCTTCTGGCTGAGCAGCGCTCCCCCATAGAACTCCAATGACCATTGGGGGTAGCTCCTACATTGAGCATCTGCCCCTGGTGGTCAGTGTGCATCATAACAACTGGTCATTCCACTGTTGGGTTGATTTACTTATTAGGGTTTTATTATATAGGATATTTACAGTTCCAGGCCCCAAAAGCTTATTTCTAAACTTATTTCTTTTTTCAATCAGTTTCTTCAATATTGCCCATTAAATAGTTAGTGCAAAATTTTTATTGGGAAAAGACAGTCAGGTAAGTGCATCCTACAGAAGCCAAAGCTGTACTTACTGCTTCTGCACAGGAGACAAAATGCTGAGTCAAGAGAAAATGGCAAAACTTCCAATCTGGTAAATAAAAATCAAATGAAGTAATTTCTCCTATTTCATTTATATGTATCTGTAACAAAAGCTGAGAAAGCTAATAAAGCTGATTAAAAGGAGCCAGTAAAGCTTTTTTGTTATCCTGGGCCTGTCTATATTGTACTGGGTCTCAACTAAGATTCAAAGTGATTTAGAAAAGTTACTTTTAATGAAATATCTGTATAAGACAAGAGTTATATTAGCATACATTAATAAAGCAAAAAAAGAAAAACCAACAGAAAAAAAGAAGACTCTTACACTCCAAATTTGAAAATTTCAACATTATTTACAACAGTAGCATTCCAATTTATCGTATCCTGGTTAGGCAGGAATTGTAGAGCTCCAAGTTATACACACCTGGCCTCAGAAAGACGTAAATGAGACACAATAGGAAAATGAGCAGCCTGCTGGATACTGAGAAAATATATTTGCAGTCTGACAAAGGACATATATCCAGAATAAAAAAAGAATGTTGGCAAATCAACAATAAAAAGACAAGCTTCCTAATTTCAAAAATAAACAAAATACTCCAACAGGTGCTTTACAGAACAAAATGTGAGCAGGCATGGAACACATGGAAGTTGCCAGCACTAACCATCAGGGAAATGCAAATGAAAAATCACATCAACATTATAGGGTATGCCCCCCAAAATGTATACACACTTTGCATGACTATAAAGTCAGTATTTATTAATATATAGTTCGTTTTCAAAATGTAAAACAATCTACAGTTGTGAATATTTTTTTTTTTTTTTTTTTTGTCCATGCCTGCTTTCAAACTGATGACTGTCCTGGTCCAAGCACTGCTACTAACGTGAAGCAATGGAATAGCAAACATCAAGAATCATTTCCTTCGGTATTTGTGACCCTCAATTCATCAACTGTTGCCAGTTTTATACCATAAACATTATCTTTTATGTATCCCCATAAAAAAGTCTGGTGGATAAATGTTCTTTGTTCAAAGCTTAGTTTAGTTTCACCCATTATTTCACCCAGTTAAACCTGAAAAGGAGTGAACATTAAGTGAGTTATCAGAATTGGTTATAATTATAAAGGCAGTGTTTGTACTTCAACTGTGCTTTCAAACTTCCAGGAGCCTTTTAGGATAAATTTCCTTTGTTCAAAGCTTAGTCTGGCTGAAAATAAAGAAACATCAATTCAACTCTCAGCTGTTAAAGTACGACACATGTTTCTGGGACACCCTGCATTTCACACTAACTTGAAAAGCTATCAAGTACAAAATACAACAGTGAGGGTGAGGGTCAGGGGGAGAGGTCAACCAAAGGACTTGTGTGCATGCATATAAGCCTACCCAGTGGCCATGGACAATGGGGGGGTTGGGGCATATGTGGAGAGGAAATAGGGGGGATGAGGACAATTATGTGATACCATAATCAATCAATTAAAAAAAATACAACAGCGAATGTCAGGGATGTGGCACACCTGGAGCTTGTATATATTACTGGGGAAAGGAAAATGGTAGAACCACTTTGAGGAACTATATGGAAGTTTCTTAGGAGATTTGACCCATCATTCCCACGAACAGTCCATTTCTGCCCAAAACTCAACACTTGCGTGTTGCTTTCCTCTCTCCCAAATCTTTCATGTCTTCATCTTACTAGTCTCAGGTTTCTTCTAGCCCCTCTTTTTTTTTTTTTTTCATCTCAAATGAATTCTCCCTAATTAAGCATAAAGGGATTCACTTCTTCCACATTTATTCTAAGAGGTATATATGTGATGATATAAAATAAAGATGATTTAGGATTAGCTGTGTATTTTGCCTAAATAAGATGGCAACTATTTTTGACAGCTGCAGATGTTAGTTCTATGTCAAGAGTAACAATGAAAATAGAACAAAGATAATATTTAGATTAAATTTTTTTCTTATATAAATAATTCAGAATCTTTAGCAAATGGGAAAAAATCACATCAGAGTCATTTCGAAAAGTTCATTTATTATATACCAATATACACTTTCTGTAATAAAAAAGCCTCCCAATACATTGAACCCTCTTATAAATGAAATAAGAAAATAAAATTTTCATCTGTTTACAAATGGGGTTAAATTAACCATATGTATGTCTGCCCTGCAGTCTGAATTCATCCTGAAATGGCCATGAGAGAGAAATTGTGCTTCACTATGGGGCACTGTAGTATTGCTCTTGAGTATTTATATAATTACATATGTTGACATTTTTAAGTTAGTCATTTCAAATGTAAAACATTCAAAATATATACAGATTTTACAGTTTCCCATTTTTTTGGTAAATCATTGATATTTACATTTAAAAACATTAAAATTAAAAATTTTTTAATAGAAAGTACTTTTTCCACTTGCTATCTCTTTGGATGAATGACAATACATCTTAAAGATGCTGTTTGGAATTTTTTTTTCCCAATAATAGTAACTTAAAAGTTATGATAGTTTCTAGTAATGTTCAATTTCCTTAACAAAGTGCACCATTTTACAGTATTGTGCCTCTAGAAAAAAGTACATAAAACAAATATATATTTTCTTATAGAACATTCCAGAAAAACTATTGGAATATGATTTAATATTATCATACTTATATGATACTTGTATTTCATACTTGCCTTTACTAAAATATAAGATACAGAGCAAATGTTCTTGCTACTGATTTGAAAAAAAAAAAAGTAGCAAATCCAGAAATTCCAGGAATACTTTTAAAATCCATTTTATGTATGTTGTAGAATTGAGCAAAAGTAACAGTTTGCTTCTCTTTGTAGTGTTAGCATTTATTTTTATGGAGAACCACTCAACATTGTATTAAATGGCAAATAAATGTCAGCAAACACCTGTCTAAGATATAATGAACTAAATGCTATTGTAGTTATACTAAGTGAAAATTATTATTAATAATTATTTGCAAATAAGAACTTATTTTCTTATAGGTGATTATGATATTACTGTAAACGTTGAAAAGGAACATTACTGAGCTATGTATAACTTTGGTTTCAAATTTAAAATATCCCCAACAGACAGATGCATACAAATGGATTTTTGAGCCCATCGACTTAATTCCCTGCCCTCACCCCAAATAATATAAATGTTTTAACTGTAATGAGAGAAAAACTACACATGTAAAAAATAAAAATCAAATGTACCATACATTAAAATTCTGATGACTACAGAATTATATACACAAACATATAGCGATCACAGTTTCCTGCACTGAATGTTTATCAAATAAAAATGTATCAAACAATACTGGGTAGTGTATCTCCACATGAATTGTGGTCTTCTAAAAATTCTGGATGAGAATGGAAGACGAGAGGGAGAGCATTGTTCAATGGTGAAAGTATGAAAAGAGGACTAGGACTAATATGAAAAAGCAAATGCTTCCAGAACAGGCATTTTGGCTTTAAGCGTTATTTTTGTTGGTGCTCTATAATTTAAATAAGACCCCTCTCTTAATGTTTTTTAAAAAAAAGTCTAAATGAAGAAGGCATTAATTCAATGTTACCAAGAGGATGGATAAATATCCTTTTACTATTGACAATATGATATTCTAGCCGGGTGTCAGATCATTCATGTATCTTACAGGGACAGTTTGTAAGACACGCCTTTTGCCTCTGTTATTAAATAGATCCAAAGTGTTTAGTGCAAGATTAGGGGAAGGCATTACGTGGTGATAGCTCTGCCACCAGGGCATTTCGTTTGATGCTCTAAGAATACAAGTTTTTGGTACTACGGGAAGGGGGCGGGGACTCTCCGATGACCATTACACTCAGCTACCCTTACTCTGCTTGTACAGCAGCAAAAAATACATCATCTGGCAAAACCTGGGTAGACATGTGCACCACAGATTTTAAACACATAAGCAGCCACTCTTGACAAAAATGATGATTTTCTCTTCTGAAGGTGCCTGGTGATGTTACCGGTGAACATCTTTGGAATCTTCTTGTTATTTCCTATGAATAACATTCCAATCGTCGGGGTAAAATCACTCACATGTCCTTTGGAGCATAATTTGCAACCACGTCCAGCAGAAAAGGAAAGTTTTTTTGGGGGGTTAGTGATGCTTGGAGTTCGGGGGGTTGTAAATCCAGTCGGTGATAATGAGCGCCATGCTCCCACTCATGAAGATGATGCCAACCACGAGGAAAATCAACGCCTGGAAGTCAAAGAGACCTTGTTAGGAACACAGAAACCATCCTTACTTGGCAAAGCTCGTGCTAAGTCAGTAAACAGTCAATTGTTTGCCTAAGCCAGCAACCTGATTTGCCTATTGAATTGTATTATGCTTGTAGCTCAGCTATCCAGGCCTAGCAGTTCAAGTCAATTTAGAACCCTAGTTCAGGAAAGAGGGTGAATACATAAGAGAGATTTTAACCCAAGTGTTCAAAATATGGGAACAGTTCATTGATTTGAATACCCTGTAATGATGGAATCATTATGATGGAATACCCTGTAATCATTAAAAAGTCAAGCAACAGAAAACAATTTAATAACCAGGGGAGGGCTCACAATCATTTAGGTGAAAAAAAGGTAGGTCATAAGAGAGTAGTAGGTGTGGTGAAAATTTATAAAGCAAACAAATAAAAATAAAGTCCTAATATATGTAGCATATTCCTTGGGGAGGAAAATGAAGTGTGTATGTGTGTAATACAATGTTTTAGAATAGCAACACCAGAAACAGCCTTAGTTAGTACCACACAGGTCCACCTCCCAATTCTATATATTAGGAGGCAGCTGCTAATTTCCTTTTAACTTGAAAGAATCTAGCATATAATTTGACTCATTTTTACATCTGACAAGCTGAAAATGGGCTACAAAAAGGACAAGTAACTTGCCAAGATCACGCTGCTAGAAAGCCCAAGGAAGACTACATAGAGTAGAAGCTTGGGGGTGAGATGATTGGAGGAGCTGTTGATATCACATTGTCCTGAAAAACCCCAGAGGGAATGGCTCCCAGGCAAAATTCAGGGTATTTCAGTAAGAGGCATTCTTTTCAAGTCTTAATATAAGACTTTATTAAGCAGTCATATAGATACTATGTAATTATTGGAAAAACAATTATTTCTAGTATTTATATCACAGAAAAGAAGTATATACTTCTGTAGTTATATTACAGAAAAGAAGCACCTCCTCTCTAGTTTCATAAAGCTGTATTTTATATCTAAAGAGGTTGACTGGAAAAGGAGTGCTTCTGCTCTGGATCTCCGTCCTGCTGAGGGGAAAACAAAAGCCACGTCTTCTCTCTGGGCCTTCCAGACCAAACGAATACGGCCCAAAGGTTTACGTTCTTTCTTAACACTGTCCTTCCTGCATCATTTCCCATAAAACAGTGCCACCAAAGCTGAGCGGGGGAGACTTGGATGCATGTGTGTCTGTGGGAGCGCTCCATTAGCCTCTGACAGGGAGGAAGAACTCAGGTATTTGAAGAAAAGGAATCCTGGAATCATCTGAGCCAGAACTCCAACCCCCTTTCTCTCCATTGCATCGTTGATGGTTCATTCTTGTACAGCAAATAATTTTTTTAAATTTTTGAACCATGTGTATTTTCAGGTTTATTCCGAGTAGTCAAAGAACAACTTACAATGGGGAAAATTGCAAGCCTTACTTACCCCAACCTTTTGGGGTGACCGAAGTGGTTCTTTCTTGACGAGTTTAAGGTAAAAAGCTGCAGGGAGGATGAAGATCAGCATAGTGGCGGAAGAAGCCCCTGAGGAGAGAAGCACCGGACAGGTCAGCATCTTACACAGCAGGTCTGACTCAGCAAGGCAGAGACCGGGGCATGCACTTTAAAGACACCAGATCGAAAGCTGCCCTAGTCTTAACCCTAAATCCACTAAAAGATCCTCTGGGTGCTTATTCAAAGAACATATGTTTATAAGGAAAATTAAACTGTACCTAACATCATTGCTGCATACTAAGTACACATAACCTATAGTCAATCATAAAACGACCAAATGTTACAAATTTTCAGGAAATTAATAATAGTATAAGCATCTACTAAGGAGGCTGAACTCATCACACACCCTTCCTATTTACTTCTAACTTTTCAAGTTGATTATACCTAAGTTTTAGAAGTTTTATACAGTATTGTATTTAAAGTTGTAGTAAACCCCCAAATTAGCATAATAAAAATATCAAATACTAGAGGCCTGGTGCACGAAATTCATGCATGGATTGAGGGATGAGGGGGGTATCCCTCAGCCCAGCTTGCACCCTCTCCAATCTGGGACCTCTTGAGTAATGTCCAACCGCCCGTTTAGGCCTGATCTGGGCCTAAACGGGCAGTTGGACATCCCTCTCACAATCCTCTCCCAACCACTCACCTGCCTGCCTGTCTGATTATCTCTAATCACTTCTGCCTGCCAGCCTGATCACTCCCTAACCAGTCCCCTGCCAGCCTGATCAATGCCTAACTGCTTCCTGGCTGGCCTGATTGCCCCTAACTGCCCTTTCCAGCCCACTTGGTCACCCCTAACTGCCCTCCCCTCCCAGTTTGGTCCCCCCCACCCCCCAACTGCCCTCGTTTGCTGGCCTGGTCTCCCCCAACTGCCCTCCACTGCCAGCACTGTCACTCCTAACTGCCCTCCCTGCTTGCCTGATCACTCACAACTGCCCACCCCTGAAGGTCTGGTCTCCCCCAACTGCCCTTCTCTGCAGGCCTGGGTCCCTCCCAACTGCCCTCCCTTGTCGGCCTGGTCACCTCCAACTGCTCTCCTCTGTTGGCCTGGTCACCCAAAACTGCTCACAACTGCCCTCCCCTGCAGGCCATCTTGTGTCCACATGGGGGCAACCATCTTTAACCACATGGAAGCAGCCATCTTGTGTCTTAGAGTGATGGTCAATTTGCATATTACTCTTTTATTAGATAGCATATTAGCAGGCCACACAGTAAAGGGAAATAATATGCTTTACAAAATCAATCTCCTCATCCATCAAAGATATCCTTAATTCTCAGCTAATCACAGACCTGAGAGAGCATCCTGAAGGTAAAATCTGTCTCTCTTACTTTTTTAAACAGAGTTAAGACCTACGTGCAAACCCTGGGTGCAGTCCAAGGTATAGAACTTGACTTCTATGGGGCTCAGTTTCCTCGGCTGTCAGAAAAGGCAGCTGGACTAGATGACCTAAAAAGTAGCTTTTGGCACTAACATTTTCAGATCATGTGAGTAACTTCCAGTGTCACCTGGGAGGGAGGGAAGGTGACAGCTGGCGCCCATGGGACTATTAGGAAGCCTGGGAGCCTGAGACAGATGGGGATTCTTGGCCTCCCAGCAGAGGCTCCCTGTCTGTCATTTAAGGGGCTATCAGCTTGAGTTGACTACATGAAAAGGTGGAGGGATTAGGAAGTATAAGTTGGTAGTTACAAAATAGTCACAGGGATATAAAGTACAACATAAGGAATACAGTAAAAAATATTGTGATAACTATGTATGATTTCAGATGGGTGCTGGATATTTCAGGGGGAACACTTTGTAAAGTATATGGTTATCTAACCTCTATACGGAACACCTAAAGCTAATACAAATTAATAGTGAGTATAAACTGTAATTGAACAATATTAAAAAAAAAAATAGATGGAAGAAAATAAAAGCCTTTCTGAAACTTACCTATGAATCCAAAGATGTATTTTATAGTTGGCACAAGGATGACCAAAATATTGTTAAGTGCAATAAGCATGGCTGCAATCAGGATATGTCTTATCCAGCTGAAGGGCCTTCTGGGAAATAACAGTGTTGTCACTGATGTACGAATCTGTAGCGAGAAAGTTCAAAGGCAAGGTCACTGCTTTTTTACTTTATTATTTTAAACTAGAGGCCTGGTGCACGAATTCGTGCAAGGGTGGGGTCCCTCAACCTGGCAGGTGATCAGGGGGGATTGGGGCCGTCTCACCCCGTCGGGGAGGAGGGACCGTGGGAGGTTGACTGGCCAGGGGAGGTTGGCTATGGGAGCATGCTGACCACCAGGAGGCAGCTCCTGCATTGGGCGTATGCCCCCTTGTGGTCAGTGCATGTCATAGCGACAGGTCATTCAGTTGACCTGTTGTAACCATCATTTAAACTTTTATATATATAGATATTCTCATTGCTCTGGAGCATTTTCTTTGTTTCTCCTTTTTCTCCCAGAAAATACCTTGATGCTGATTTTTATTTATTTATTTACTTACTTAGAATTTTCTTACTGTGGAAAATACAAATAACACAAAATTCACCATCTTAACAATTTTTAAGTGTGCAGTTCAGTCGTGATAAGTAAATTCATATTGTTTTTCAACCTTGATGCTTATTTTCAATGTGTTATGTTTCCTTATTGATATATTTATCATGTGCTCACTTTTATAATTTTTTATTAAAATCTCAGTCAGAAAGAGATAAAATAACAGGCAAGAGATAAAACTCAGAGACAGTAAAACCCTTGTTGACTTCTAATTATGTCTCCTCAGACTGGAGCAAGCATTAAGGGCAAGCACTGAATTGATTTGCATGGGATTGCAAATGGGATCTTTACAAACCTGGGTTTCTCTTAACTTTGCATTGTACTTAACATGTTTTTCTCCATCTGATTTTCTAAAATGATACTGTATTTACTCCTTTCTCTTTCTACCCATTTAGTCCCTCCCCCTAATTATAGATTATAAATGCACAAAGAACAGGACCTAATAATGTTACCATTCCTCAGAGTTTCTAGCTTAGGGTTTAGGACAGAGCAGGCACTCAGTAAATGTTGAATTAAATGGAACAGAACAAATCTTGCCCCTCCCCTCAGGGTCCTTGACAGATTTCGGCCCTATTTTAGTGACTGAAATAAGTAGGTGAAGGGTCAGGAGAGGCTCCTCTGGCAGCAGCTGCTCAAGTTGCTCTGATGTAACTGGATGAAAAGGTCCCTTTGAGGAGAGGGAGTGCCAGTTATGTTTGAACAGCCTAACAAAGTTGGAAATACTTTTATCTTTGGAATCTTAGAAGACACGTTTGACTTTGTGGAATGAGTCTATTGGCTTTTCAATAAGCGAGCCCTTCATTTAAGCCGGGACGTCACATTTTTAGAAATGCTGGGATTGATTTGCACATTAAAATTTTACTTCTGAAGTCTCTGAATGGCATGGAGAGGGGAATCCACTTAAAAGAGAAAATGTAAAATAAAGTATTTTGAAACACATGTATGAACGACAAAAACTTCGAACTGGATTGCTTGCAATTTCTAATGTGACATTCCTTGCATACCGCTCCGCCAAAATGAAAGCCATCTGTTCAGGTTTAAAAAGCAATTTCATTTCCAGAATGGCATACCAGAGTCTCTGGAAATGGTTTAAGAGCGACTTTGTAACGGGTTTTAAAAATTGGATTAGCAAAAATTATGGCAGTCATTGTGAAAAGGACTGAGGAAAGCAAATGCCTTGCTTTTGTTTTCCCAGAAGCTTATAAATTCTATATTATGTCCTATTTAGTACTGTCCAATCTGGTGGGCTTGAAATGAGCTTTCTATGGTACATACATAGCGCTGAAGAGTTTATTTGTCTGCAAGTAATAAATTTATAGACTAAACAACTAGAATAGAGGTTATTTCCAGGCAGAGGTCACATCTACGTGCTTTTTAGTCCTTTGTTATATATATTTAAAAAAAAAAAGAAAAAGAAATATTGCAGATGTTGCTACGAAAACTGGTATCAAATCGTGATCCATAGGTATTGTCCTATGCAATCCTACAAAATGAAACTGTGATTTACTCCTAAGTAATAGAATTCTTTTTTTTCCCTCCTTTTTTTTTTTTTTTAGAATTTAGACCTAAGGCTCCCATTTTCTCCTCTCCCTCCACATTTTTGATTTTCATCTTGGTTCCCACATTAGAACACAGCACCTCCTAAGTAAGGCTGCTGTTCAGAACACTCTCTCTGGAAATAACAAGTTTTCTCTAGAGCTCTGGAACTTCTTGGAATCATTCAGAGTTGGAAGCTATGGCGGTTGCTGGAGACTTCCCCCACCCATAGCATCTGACCCACAGTTCCAGGTTCTTATCAGTTTGTGTCTGTAGAGAAAAGGGCACTTAGATAAGCAAAACAGCAGGCAGTGCTTTGTGGGTAATAAGTCAGAGTGATCTCTATCCTGACATAGGTAAACGGAATTGCTGAGGATCTTTTGATCCCAGGCTCACATCTCAAGGCTGCATTTTCATATGAAATGGTGAGCAGGTTTCCTTCTGTTCGTTCCACCTTCCCCTGCCATCAGCAGCAGCCTGCTGACTCCCTGTTGCCCTCTTCAAGAATACATTGGCAACTCCATACATCTTTAGCTCCACTTGGATTTTGTTACTCCTTATTCACCATGAGAGCAAGCTTTCACCATTCACCACAGCCAGTGTTCATTATGTTAAACCTTCATCCTTCTGGGAGCCATATGACCATAAGAAACCATTCTTACTGTACATACAGGATTGCCTCTAACTCAGCTTATTCAGCTAACTGCATTATTTTAACAAAGGGAAGTGTAAGCTAAGATGCATTATTAGTCCTTGGGGAGGACTAATAGACACCTGCCCCGTAGCATCTCCCTTCTACTGCTAAGAAAGAGAAATGCTGGTCTGCCAGTGAAAAAGCTCATGTCTTAATTCACTTCATTTATTTATCTGCTCAACAAACACTACAAGCTCTCACTATGTGCATTTGACTAAGAAGGAAAAAAAAACTAATTTAATTAGAGAAAAGAATGATAATAAATGGATTAATCAGCCAAAACCAGTTTGGCTCAGTGGATAGAGTGTCGATCTACGGACTGAAAGGTCCCAGGTTCCATTCCGGTCAAGGGCATGTACCTTGGTTGCGGGCACATCCCTAGTAGGGGGTGTGCAGGAGGCAGCTGGTCGATGTTTCTCTCTCATTGATGTTTCTAGCTCTCTATCCCTCTCCCTTTCTCTCTGTGGAAAATCAATAAAATATATGTTTTTTAAAAATGGATTAATCAAAGGAAAAACCATCCAACCATCATACAGCAACAAAACCATTCTCATATCTTCCTGGGTTTGTAGGGAAGAGAGCCCAGTTACATGTTGAAAGAAAAATAAAAAAATTAAAAAGAAAAAACACACAAAAAACCCCCAAAACCCAACCCTAAAATTGACATATTTTAATCCAGATGAGGTTTTATTTGCTTGTTTGTTTTATTATTTATATGGGGATATTGAGGCAAACTAAATAAACTTATTGGTCAAGAGTTTAACACATAGACACCTGTCAAGTGAACCATGCTGAGACTCAGCATTGGACACATTGAAAATCCTGGCTCTAAATTGTAAGAAACAAATAAAAACAACACTAGCGATGTCCTCTGTCACCTTGAGGGGAAGTGAATGTCCCCTTGTGGCACTTGGCTGGCACAAGGAGGCTGGACCCATCCATCACACCCGCAGGGCTGGGTTTGTTCCACCCAGATCCTCACCCAAACTGGAACTGCTGGCAGATGTCCGCAAGAGGCCTGGCCTAACACTTTTGCTAGAAAAGAGCATCTGTGCATCTCAGGAAAAGGCAGATTCATTTGAAGACGGTGTTCCTTGGAAAACATTGCTGATACTGTCCTCCACCAGTCATTCCCTAACCTCCAGGGGTTTACAACCAGGAGAAAGGTGGACAAGAATACAGATCATCTCAGGGTAGCAGTGTAAGGGCAAAACAGAGTGACATGCACCGTGTTTCATGAATGCAAAGGTTGAGTGAAAATAAATCATGAAGGATAGCAGTTATTTTTCTGAAATTTGTTTCTAATAGTCAACTCTGGTTCCAAAGGCATCGAGGGATCTTTCCAACCTACTGCCCTTCCTGATGGTCGTGGTGCCTTATCGGTCACATAGAGGGAGAATTTCCATGGGGGTGTTAGGATTATTAACGTCAAGGTGAAATGGTCACCAGTATAGGAAAAGCTGGCTTTTACTTTCCATAACCATGATCCAGCCATCACGGTCACGCTACGAGTGCTACATTAGTTTAACTGGTTCTGATGATCTGTGTGACCACAACCACGTCTGTTAATCCCCTGACACCAAGACTTAAAAGCACTGTGTTCAGGGTTTTTGAATAAAGCAATACAGAAGCACATGCCAGATTTCTTTTACAAAATGCTTCGATTCAACAGTGATGTGCCTACGGTGTGCCAACATGTAGTTAGTGATCTCTACATGCAGAAAGAAGGGCTCCCAATATTCTTTTCCCAGTGATGTGGTTTGCTTAGAAATTCTACCCTGTAATACACGTTCTGTTTACAGCTGTCTTCTGCCTTGTCTCCATGATGGAGCCGATTTTAGGCTAAAGCTGTGTACATGTCATTTGAAATACGAGAGGCAAGACATTATTTAACAGTAAATATTAGCCAACATAGTAATAAGGATCTGATTTCATGCATTCATGAAAAAGGAATGTGCCAGAAAAATATTTCAGCACACACGCTGCATTTAAAGTGACCACAGAGTCATTATATGAGCAGTCCTCCTCTTCTTGGCCCTGTATGGAACATTCTGTACAGGACAGTGCCAGTTACTGTGTCGCTTGTTCCTCCCCCCTTGCCCCCCCCCTACAATGAATGAGTAAATTCAGTGTATATGAAAGGAGAAGAGTTGGCAGGAGAGCACAGACCCATGTTTATCCATAGGTGGTGGTTTTAACTAACACAACCCAAATCTCTACAACCAGCCTGCTCTGTGATTCCAGAAAAACTGACGCCAATGCACATGCCAGGAAGGGGCACACCAATGAGGACATGTGTCAGCTTCGGGAGGAGGAGGGGGGGCGGGGGCGGACAGTAGGAGAGCTATATGATGGATAATGTAACCTTTCCCAAAATTTTGGTTTTAGGATGCCATTTACTTCACACGAACCCCTTTTAATTCGTCTTCAGGAAATTAGGTTAAATAATTCAACTTTTAGATGTTACTGTGTCACAATAAACTGGGGCAGATGGATGAAATGCCTTCAAAACTGTGGTGAAATGTGATATGAGTTGAAAGTTATTGTGGTTTTGGCTTTCAAGTGCCAGAAGTTATATGAACTCCTACTCATTTCTACTAACCCACATGGTAGGAGTTCAAGATCTGTTTTTTGTTTTTTGATTTTTGTTTTTAATTTGAATTTAAAAATAAATGTCAACCTCAATAAGGCTGGAAAATAAATAAAAATAAATTTCATGATCCGCCTCCTCTTCCCCGCCCCCACACACACACACTTTAAAAATATCTAATATCTAAAAATTCTGTCAATTTCGCCAAAACCGGTTAGGCTCAATGGATAGAGCATCGGCTCATGGACTGAAAGGTCCCGGTTTGATTCCGGGTAAGGGCATGCACCTTGGTTACGGGCACATCCCCAGTGGGGGGTGTGCAGGAGGCGGCTGATTGATGTATCTCTCTCATCGATGTTTCTAACTCTCTATCCCTCTTTCTTCCTCTCTGTGAAAAATCAATAAAATATTTTAAAAAAAATTCTGTTAATTTTAAGTGGCTCCCAAAATGCAATTGCAAACTCACGTTATAATTAAGCCCATATCAAGTCAGAACATCTGTACTAATCTATGGAGTCGAGCAGGATCCCTTCATCAAAGCTCCATGTACTTACCGGGAACAGGACGATGGGCACAGTTAGTGTCACTGCCACGAGGACCGCCAGGCGTACCATGAGGAGAGGGGTGTCAAAGGTGTACACTTTGATGTAAGCATGAAGTAATTCATCTTCAACTTCTCCTACAAAGAGGAAAAATAGAAAGAGTCCATTTGGTTACCTCTGGCAACATTCTACAGAGGGAACATAGCATAGTAGAAGCAGCTCATGTCGGCGAGTCCAGACACTTCTGTGTTTACCATGTCTCTGAGCTTATTAGCTGTGTGACCACTGACCAAAGGGCCCTGAAGCTTATACATTGCAGAGGTTATTATGAAGTTGCTGAGGGGCTTCTCTAGCTTATTTGCATGGTGATAAATTTATTTTTGCTCTACTGAAGCATCACAAAACAGATGCTAGACTGAGGCGCTCTGGTTCAAGGTCATGAAAGGCCCAAGCACCACCAGTGTCCCTCACATCTTGTCACCACCACCCCCTTCTGCCCCTACCTGCCCAGTCAGCCTGAGGCAGCTTATCCTAACCCAGTATAAAAACCCTAGTACAAATGATCTATCACATTTTTCAAGCTCCATGATTATGACTCCATGACAACACTAATACACATACATTTGGATTTTTCAAGTTTTTGCTTGTCTTATGAAACTCAGAGTCAATGTACGTAAATGCAAGGATGAGTTAGTATGAGTTTTACAGGGTCTCTGAATGAAGATTAAGATGGTGCCCTCCTGGAAAACACAGTCATTTAGAATTTCAAGCACAAATGACAAGGAGATGCTGATAGAATCAGATTCAGTCTGTTTTTCCCATTACTCTCCTCAAAATCAGACAAAGAGGATAAAAAATATATATTCAGTGGTATTGACCGAACTTTCATTAACTCACCACGAGCAAGGACTTAATGCCCACTCTAAAGCAAGTACTTGATTAATAGCCAAATATTGGTCAAATAGAATAAAACTCAATCAAATGGTACATTCCCTCCTCCTTCTTTCCCCCCAACTTGTCTTGCAAACAATTTAATGTATGAAGTCACTCAGAAAAATGCAAAAAGTTAAATTTATATGAAAAGCATATTTATGATTAGTCTGAACAATACTAGCAGGCCAATGTTTGACTCCCGGAAATTTGTCTGTAGGGCTATGCTTCATGAAAGGGAATGACAATCCTATGCCTTTTGTGTTCTGTTAAGATGCCACAGATTAAGTGTTTTAGGCATAATCTAATGGGGCCATGTAACATTTTGTTTTGATAGTACATTCCCAGATTGAAGGGAATTCTGGCATGAACTTTTCTTTCTTTAGGAAACCTTCATTATAACAGACTAGAATAGGATGAGCAGAAAATGTTGCCTAATGCTCCAAGCCCTCAGATTCAACATAACTGGTAAATGAAAAACAGGTTCTAACTCTAGAATGTTGTACTTTTTCTGCTATTTGTTTGATAGGTAATTATTCTACCAGTAGAGCTTTACAACAGGCAACTGGAATCACTCTCATTGCTTCTAGAGTGATTCACTCTTATTGCTTCTAGGGAGTCAAGCCAAAGAAATACCACCTATCCCAGAAGGAAAATACTTAAATTTGAGGAATTAAAAAAATATGTGAATATACAAATTGTTGTAACTTGTTAGCCAAACTGGTTCAGGTCCTATTTTGGGGGATTAAGTGACATGGTTAAGAGAGCATGTTAACCAAGTACTTGTATCTACAGTTCATGCTGCTTAAGAGGGTACTTAAAAGAATGATACCTACTAGGGTTTAATGACCAGTTCAGCCAGGATTTGCACAGAGAATGACTTTGACAGAGTGACCTACCATAAAATGTCAGGTAACCAAAGAGGGCAGCAAGCAGGTACATGATGAGCATCCCCGTGATGGAAATATTTGACACTGACTGCATCTTCCTCCGGGACCGACTGGAAAAAAAAATGAACACTGAGTTTTGTTTCTTTAAATTTACAAACAGGTCGCTGTTTAAAACTAAGAAAATAGTGAAAGTATGCATATCTTTCTAAAGCCTCATTTCTGATGCAGAAACATAGCTTATTTAAATTTGTTTTATAAAGGATTTGTCTCCATTTTTCTAAAACATTACTCCTTCAGTCTTAGAAACAATCACCTTTCTAAAAGAGGACAAGTTTATTTCCTGTTGATAAGTAAGCTTGTCTACTGAGAATTTAACAATGGAATTAACATTTCACAGTGAGGTGGGTTTAATGAGGACAAGGACCTACATGAATCAGCAAAACCCTACCTCTAGGAGTTCTGGTATTATTACCAGGATACTTGGTATTATTACCTAGACAGCTTCTAGAAACCATTCAGGAAGGCACCCAATGGCTTAACATCAATTGTCAGGCCTCTAGAGTAACTGCTACCTGTGATTTTCCAAGTCAGCCAAAGACATCAAAATAATTTAAACTTCCAAAAAAATTTTTATGGAAGTAAATCAGAATTTACAGGCAAAGTTATTGCTATTTTGTAAAAACAAAGACTGAGATTGTCGATGTCTGTGTCAAAAAAGCTGAAAGTTATTATATGGCATTGTCCCATAAGGGCAAAGAAGGAAGCTGCTTTAGTGGGCTCAGATCCAACTCATCCTCAAGTGATGCAACAACCTCAAAGGGCAGAGTATTAATGACATAGACTATCAGCTGGAAGAAACAAGATTGTCTAGCCAGTGTCTCCATTGTACAGTTAAGACAATGGAGGCCAGATATTGGCACATCTCTGTGGTCAGTGTCTTCTAGACAAGGGTTAGGGACTGACTACAGGTGACATCAGTGGCCTAGTAAGGTCACCCTAACCATAATTTTTTATCTTTAAGCGTGTGGTAGTTTCCAGTTCAAGTGACATCACTTCTTTCCACCAAAATTAAAATTTGAATTCTCCATGCCTGCCAAAATCCTTACAGCAACTGGCTTCTCCCCTTCCCGGGATCCTCTCCTGGACCATTAGGGTGGAGGAATAGAAGAGTAGGATGCAGAGAAGGTAGTGCGGTGAGGTGTCTGACTCACACCTCTCTGAAGAGTAGTTATAGCACAGACTCTCTGAAGAGAAAGCTATAAGCCATGCTACTGAATGAAGCACCTTTGAATATATGAGCCCATTTTCAAAGCAAATTAGAATGCTGAAATGATGAGTGCCTTACTCTTTAAGTTCACTGTAGATGGGAAGGACCTCAGGGTGGCACACAAAAGCAAATGCTAGGATGGGAATTGCATAGGCCGTCTGAAAAACAAAGACAACACCGCATGTTTAGCATTCCAACACGGATGGCAACCCTGGGCCACCTCAGCTTATGAAATAAACACTCAGAGGCCGCACTGCTAGGCTCCTGAGAGACCCAGGTCTCGCACTTACCCTGGAATTGAACACAAAGTATTTGGGTCGACACTTGTCATCACTCTGAGCTTCATACTCTACTCCACTGCCATGAAGAGAGTCCTTGGCCTGGTTGTCATCGAACCCGGCAGGATTCTGGTGGGTGTAATCCATCAAATAATACACTCCAATGCTCTCAGAGTTGTTGGGTAACATTACCATGTTCATTGGCAATGTATTGTTGAATGTCATATTTCCAGCATTGTGATCCAGATTGGGCAGAGGACAGGGTATTTGGAACTTCTTATAAATTACCTAGACCCAATTATAAAAAACAACAACGTTAGCCTTTTGAACAACAATGAAATGAAAATCTGTATGTGTGCCTTATGGGATGAAGGTGAGGGGCCTCTGAGGATTCCTTTTAGACTAATGGAGACTCCCTCTGGTCTCTGGCCTAAGGAAAGAGCTGGAACTATGTTTGGAAACCCTACCCCTTAGAGTCAACAAGACAGTATTCTGCACGAATTCATCCTAAGCTTCATTCATACTCTTCCATGAGAAAGACGATCATTTCCTTGCTCTGCTTCAGGTCTTCAATTTTTTCAAACTAATAATTATATGGGTTATTGAAATCTCTCTTCCCCTCCTTTACCTCTTTGGAGAAATGCTGTATAAAATCTGGCACCCATGATATTACAAGAAATTCCTTTTTGGTGGGGATTGTGGAGAGGTGAGGAGAGGGACTTCTTTAATCCCACTGTGGTTGCCCTCTCTTCATACGTAGGATGATTAAGAGAAAATGGCTAATTCATGCGGATATGGCTAATTCTGTTGCCTCCTCAATTCTCTTCTGGGACTCTTCTGCTTCTTCTGCAACCTTCTAAATACTAGGTTATTGTCATGTCCCCACTTGAAGTATTCTTTTGGTCCAAATATACATTGTGTGCCTAAAACATACTATTAGCAATAGTCTTGACATTCTAACTCAACTATTTTTATAAGCATGACTGTTCTTTTCTCATTCCAAATTAGAACACACAAAAATTATTGTTTGTGATGCAATAACTATTTCATGCTAGTGAAGTGCTTGAACAACAACAACAACAAACACACTAATCCAAGCCCTGGATGCATCTCATACTCCCCAAGTTATAAGAATCATGTCAATAAATCACTTACCACACTGACAAAAAACACCATGCAGGTAAGAGAAAATCCACTGGTATAACCAAGGTAACCTAGGAGTTAGCAGAGAAATTCTGGAAGGTGAATATGGCATCTACAATCATCTTGCTATAAATATAAAACAAAAAATTAAAATTAAAAACAACTTTACCTAAATTTTTAAGTAGAGAAAGTGGGAGAATGATTCCAACAGACACAAATATGACGAGGTAGTTGCCATTGAGGTACCATTCTCTAGAAGAGAGAAACAGACCAGAATATTGGGATTGGAAAAGACCAACTAGAATGAGTCTCTTGACATAACAGAGAAAACATCAGACCTACCCGGTATTTTCTTCAAGTCCCATGAATGCTTTGATTACTTCAGGTAGTTCGTATTTAATGATAAAGAGGTAGCTTGACATTGCTAAAAATGAAAAGCACGACAGCTTAGTAGAGGGCACAGCATTAAAGTCACAGACCAGTAGTGAGAAGTTCTGGAATTTGGGATACACTTTCTTCCCCATAAGGTGCACATCTATTCCCCCAAGTGGCAAGGAAAGTTACCTACTGTGTGTATTCTGTACTGCTTCCAAATTCTTTCCAAAAATAGCCCTTTGGCCCTCTGGCTCTGGCCCCTGGAACTTCGTGAATAGTATCAATACGATTCTGTGTTCATCCTGCTCTGAGGTTTTCAGTGAAGCTGCACTTTGAATATTTTCCCCTCAGTAGTTACAAGTCACCACGACCTGTGCTGAGTGATCCCGTCTTAGTGTCTATAACCTGAGGAGGGACCTGGCCACAAAAGGGCTGGGGGTATCAGGCAGACTGCTTGTCACTCTAGCTCTCCCCAGGTGATACCAGTCTATTCCTCTGTATCTCCCTGAGGGGCACACCAAACCTCAGACCACTGTCTCAACATACTTGATTGATGAAACAATACAGGAGTGGATGGCTCCTCCCCCTGTGGTCAATGAAGTTTTTCTCCTTTGCATCCTGGCCTTCCTTTGGCCAAATAAGAAATTATACAAAGTGGCAACATGTCTTGAGTAGAGAAGTGATAGATGTGTGATCATGCTACTCGTCTAAAACCCCGAGAAAAATCTAAAAACCCAAATCCCTGGAAAAACGTACAGTATATGTGCATATATGCACAATATATAATTTTTCCTACAACTGTAGGGATTTGTGCAACATCCCTTTCTCCATTCCATTCCCTCAGTGATTTGTTATTTGATCACACCGTCAAAAGTCTCAATTAAAAATAAACGGATGGGTTTATTTTTAATTGGCAGCTTCAGCTGAATGCTACATCCTTCTGGTGAATTTTTGCTAACACATCTTAAAGCAGTTACTAAGTTGTAAATTAAACTATTAACATTAAACTAATGAGTATTAAAGATATCTCCTTAACCTCAAATGGAAGTAATAATGTGGATGATAATAATCCCTCACACTTTTAGTTTTGCACATCACTCATTTAAATAGCAAGAGGCACATTATTATCCCCATTCCGCAGCTGAGGGCAGAGGGCTTACATGGCATGTCTGAGACCATGTAGCTTGAAACTGACAGACCTCATCCAAAATGCAAGTTCCCTGCTTTCAAGCCAGCGCTTCTCCCCTGTTATGGAGTAAAGTGATTCTTACAATACCTGCTGTATCTTCTGCAAACACTATTTGGTTAATCTTTAAAAGCTTGGCTAAAGCGAAATCTTACAGAGAGTAAACAGAGGAGACATTTCTGATGAACTGGCTTTGTGTGGTATCATTCAGTGTCAGAGAGCTATTATTGCTGACTTTCAGTGATGTTACCACTGTTAATGTGTTTGGTCTTCAAAAATTCAGAATGATCCCGACCTGTCTGGGTAATGTCAACATTATTCTGCCAGTGTTGAAACATCCATGGTAAATGTTAATTTTCAGGGGACTGAGAAAATTGAACGTTCTAAATGTGGAGTTGCTAAATACAGAAATACAAGTGATTCTCCTTAGGGCAAAATAACCACTCATCAAATAGAGTAACCAAAGTGAGAGCATTTTTAGGAACTATATATATAACATTTATCTTTTTCCCTTAAAGCCACACTTCTTGTCATGTGTGTGGCTTCATCATGAGACCACTTTATACTGATGCCATTATTTAGAAGCAGATTGGCAGCTATACTTTGAACAACAGACGGTGCTATTGCTACTTAGCCTGTGGTAGTCAAGGCTAAATATGTGTGAGGTCATTTCCGTTGTCCAAACAAATACAATAGATCAACTGTAGCTAATCTTATGAAATGATTGATACTTTAAATCCTAATAAGGCTAAAAATTTGAACCAAATGTAGAACAGTCTATTTGGTGGAGGATGGGGGGCTTACATGCTTATGACCCCAAACCAGTAAAATGAATGAAGCAATCCTGTCAACACTGCCAAATTCTACTCTTAATATATAAAGACTGTAGTCTTAATATATAAAAATATGAGAAGAAACAAATATAAATCAATATATCCCTGGATTTTATCTGCCTAACAACTAACCATTATCAGGAGCAGATATAGTTAGATAAGGTTATTAAAATAATTGCTGCATTCCAGAAATATTAGACAACTCCAGTGATTTTATTTGTCAAAAAGGGATGCCTATTTGCAAGATCTCTGTGCAAGTTTATTTACTGCAGCATCACCTGTAAGAGTAAAAAACGGGAAACAATCCAACTGTCCATCAATAAGGGATTCAGTAAGCCAATTATGCTACACTGGCACGATGAAAAACGCAAAAGCCGTTAAAAAGAATAATACGTGAATATAGCCAGGGCATATTGTTAAATTAAAAAAAACAAACACCCTGCTAATCAGTATTATAAGGAGATCCAATTTTACCATGTTTCCCCGAAAATAAGACATCCTCCGAAAATAAGACCTACTTACAGGGTTCCTTCTGAGTGAAATATAAGGCATCCCCCCAAAATAAGGCCCCCCCCAGGCTAAACATGAGAGATTTGGTCCACTGATTCTGAAAGAAATGGAATCACAAGAAATTCACCAGGAAATTCAGGAATTGGATTGTTATGATGATGTTCCAGAAAATGATGACATGATTGTCATTGAATAAATGAGTAAATTCTTGATACTCTAGGATTCACAGTTTGTCTGGTTTGTGTTGACAACTACCATACTACCGTATACAGGTAATAAATTTCCTTTATTTTCATTTAACAATAAATGTGTACCGTATTCTTCTTCATGGAAAAATAAGACCTAGCGCATCTTTGGGAGCAAAAGTTAATATAAGACACTGTCTTATTTTTGGGGAAACAGGGGAGCAGAAACAATATATTTATTAAATTTGGCATAGAGAAAAACCTGAAGTTGTTATTTCTAAGGATGGCTTACATAAACATTTCATTGTCATCTATATTTTTAAGTAATGTTTTAGTTTTTCACAGTTAGCATTTATTTGTCTTATAATTATAAAAACGCCCATTTAAAAAATAATCAGAAGGGCTCCAGACACATGGACATCGGAGGAAGGAAGCATGTGCCATATGTTGTCTTCTTTCTTTCATCCTTTCAGTGACCTTGTGAGGATGGAATATTACTCCCGTTTTCATAGATGGGAAATTAGACTCAAAGGAGCAACGTGACTTTCCCAAGGTCACAGAGAGTGACAGAAATTGACTCAAATTCAGGTGCATCAGAATCTGAAAGCCTATCATCTATGCAAGAGTTTTAAATACCTTTTAAAAATAGTAACAGACAAGTTACCTATAAAGAGGCTAAGGGAGCCCAGAGGACTAGGGAACACTAGTTCCTAAAAGCCTAGAAAAGTGGTGGGTTGTGGAGGAGAGAGAGAGAGAGAGAGAGAGAGAGAGAGAGAGAGAGAGAGAGAGAGAGAGAGAGAGAGAGAGAAAGAGAGAATCTGTGTAATCGTGTTTGTGTGTTAGGGTAGAGAACTACAAAAACAGGGGAACTAAATATAGTTTGTTATGGATGACACAGGACACATAGAAGATAGATAGGTAAGCTATATGATAGATAGATAGATAGATAGATAGATAGATAGATAGATAGATAGATAGATAGATTTGAGGGGGTTGGCAGGAAAGGTATCAGAAAGGTAGGGGAAAGATGATGAAGGCCCTTATATATCACGCCAAAGAGTTTAAATTTTACCTTGAAAAAAATGAGGAAGAATTTTATGCACAGTAGAAGCAAGAATAGACTTGATCTGAGAAAGCTAATCTGTAGGATGAATTAGAGACAGGAGCAAGGGGAACTCAAGTTCAGGTGATCACTGTAGTGGTGAGAACAGAATAAGAGGAAAGATTGGAGAGGTAGGTAAGAGATAAAATGAACAGGAGCTGGTTGGTATTTGATTGGATGTTCGGGGTTAGGGAAGGAGTGAAAAACTTAGGCTGACACCCAGATTTCAAGGAAGGTTTTACTCTATATTTTAATTCTAGAAGTCATTGGTAGGGTTTTACATAGTATTTCATTGTTACATATTGTTATTTTTAATTAAAAAGGGATAGCAAGTCTATTTTTAAAACTTATTTTTTTAATTTAGAAACTACAAATCAACTATTTTCTGTATGTAAAGTGCTCTTGTATTGCCGTAAGAGTTTTCTTATATAGTAAACATTCTTTATAAAGTTTAAGTAGCCTGTTGAAGGCTATATTTCCTTACCTCCAATGTTCTGCATTGTAATGGAAGTAAAAGCTGCGAGTTTCCCAGGCCATCCAAATGCCTTTTCCCCCAATTTTTCATAAATCAAAGACCCTATAATCAAAGATAAAATAACCTTGTTTAAAAAAGATTGTTTTAATGGCTAAAATATATCTGTAATATAATTCTACACTGGAGTTCCAACTGTATGAATAAGAACCATATATAAATGATAAACTCAAAAGGTGTAATATCAAAAAAACAATGCAAAATATGTTAAAATATTCCCCACACAAGAAGCAGTGGCTTCATTCATGTGAGCTCTATGCAGCAAGTTGAAACTCTTATTATTTGGATTATTCAGCAAAATCTTTTTATCTATTTGGCTTCAACTTTAGCCAGCTGACTTTTACTTTCTCAGTTGCTCAAATAACTAAAAACATTGAGAGACCATGTCATTGGCCTCAGGAGAAAATGAAATGTGAAATTGACCAAAATCATCCTATAGTTATGGAGCTATAGACTGAAATACCCTTTAAAGAGAATCAAAATAGGACATTTGGACTTAATGGGTAACATACCTCCTTCCTTTGAAGTCTTCAATAGGAGGTGAACTGAATAGAGTGATAATATTGCCACTGCAAGCAGCATGATTCTGTGAGGGGAATAGAGAATAGGAATAAGTTTCTATAATGCATAAGACATAATAACAAATGTTACAATAAATTATCCCATTGGTCTTTTCAACCATTAACTTTCCAAAAGTATGGATTTGGGGGAAGCTTTAATGTTACAGAACTGGAATGTGCTATTACTTATGTACCAAAACCTACTACTTTTTTTTTTTTTTTAAATGCTACCCAGTAGTAAAATCTGGTTCATAACTTAGGTGCTAAATTAGCAAATACCATATCTGCTTACTCAGCACATGGTCTATATACATCCTATTTGCATGATAATTGTACCAGCACTTATAGACTATTCAAGTCTGGCTAAACCTTAATCTAAAACCTAAAAAATAGAAAAGGCGAAGCGAGCAGAGTGTGAGCTCCTTTACTACTATTCCCGCAATTAAGGGTCACGGGGTGAACGAGAGGGTCAGGCAATAAGTGTAGGGCGCAGGGAAATGGCTTTCTCGTATTGAAAAACATCATTTCTGGTTCAGGACCCTCCACATGTCTACATGCATATGTGATTTCTTTATTGAGATAGTTACCAGTGTCTCTCCAAAAGCAAAAATAGTATAGAAGCATTAATGTAATAACAAAGAGCAGTGCTACATGTTATCTGACATTGTAAAAAAAATCACATTCTTGGTCTGTTTTCACATGAAGAGAGCACACTGTTCCCTCCGTTGATCATGTCCTTTGGGAACTCCTGCTGCAGTCAGTGTGGCAACTGTACATTCAGGCCACAAGTTACTAATTTTTTAATGACTCTAACTTTGCTGTGCTGGAACTGACTAATCAATGACTTGTTTGTGTGCTCCTCTGTATGCCTTATGAACTTACCCATTCTTAAAGAATTATATAATGCAGATGACATTATTCTGTTTCTTGGGAAAATACTGGACATTCCCAGTATGCTAAACACAGGCTTGCTTTGGCAGGAAGTACTCAGAGCAAAACCAATGAAACGCTGTGTCATTTGCTGTGAATTAAGGGAAAGAGCTGAATCCCGTCTGTGCTTCTTACACACAAAATATACCCGCAATGTAGAGCAATTTAGCTTCTCTGGCCAAATTCATCTGCTGCATGTTTGTGAGCCTGAAGGGAGGCCCTTGGTTCTAAAACTGGAATATTCTCCTCCCGTGAAAATGACCTGTGGTTCTAGCACTGGGGGAAATGTTTACTTTTTCTGTTCCTTGGTGACCTGTGCTAACTTCCTAATTATTGATAGTATGTGTAATTAATGAGAAGACATTATATATGCAGCTATATATGTGAATACATCTCTAGCTAGAAAGATTCAGAGAATTTTTTTTTAAATGAGTTTATTTCAAACATGGCTTATAAAAATAAAATGGATATAAAAACCCTTTCAGTTAAAAAATATTATAACTAAAGCACTTCAATGAAAGCACTAACTCAATATAAATATTTATAGTCCTGCCTGATCCTTAGCCCTCAGATAGCTTTGCGATTATCTAATCATAAGCGATGTTCAGAACATAAATAGCATATATTTGTAATATAAATATTGCATTCCTAGACAGTTATTTAATGCTGTAGCATTGCATTAGAGATTGTGATCTGCATTCGCACTGATGCCTGACCCATATCAGACTGGACTCCTGTGAAGAATTCCAGTGCTGCCAACTGTGTCTTGGAAAATACCAGGCAGGACGTAATGCACACAAGCATCTGTGGCTGTCTGTCACCGACAGTGCCGTGTCCTTCCTCTGGGTCAGTTATGTGACATTACTAATCTTAGGCAGCTTTTGACCATGTTTGATAAAAGTGCGAAGGTTTAGGAATGAACTTGGGCCACTCCCCAAATATTCCCTGCGCCAGGTCTGTAACAGGTCTTGGGGGTACAAACGTGTGATGAGCAAAAATAGACCTGGACTCTACTCTTTGGAGGTTATAGTGTAGCAAGGGAGATAGACATTAATCAAATAAATCATTCAACTATACTGAAACATTGAAAATGGTGAGTAAGTGTATAATAAAGGTGGTAAGGTGGTTTGTCCCAGTCATGGAGGTCAGGGAAGGCAGCACGGATGTGAGGCTGAGCTGAGATACCAGGAGTTAACTACATGAAAAGGAAAGAGGATTTCCAAGAGCATGTGTAAAGGCCCTGTGGTAAGAGGAAACATGGCGCCTTCATGGAATGGAGAGCAGGCTAGTGTGCCCAGTATATCTGGGGCCCAGGGACATGAGGGATGTGGTGTGACACAGAACCAGGGTATGCAAGGCCCTGGTTTAAGTGGGCCTTTTCCCCAAAAGTCAGCTTTGCTTCTGAGAAAGATCTTTTGACTACTAAATATCAAATAATTTTAAGCATCCACTAAATAATGAATTAGTGTTTTGTTTTTTTTATGGTCCTATGGGCTGTGGTATGGAGATTCTCCATCGCTATTGTTGGTTGAGAGCATAAAGTTTCTGCCATTTGATTAGGGACAGTTGGTTGAACACATACCAAGATTTGACTACTCTGATTCTTCCTCAGGTTGCTGTTTTAGCTAAAAGCAAGAGGAATATGCTAACTTCCCAGATTATTTCTGTTCACAAAGATCAAACTCCTGATTGTTAATTAAAAGAACACCAGATATATATGGGCTTCAAACCAAAAGTGGACATGTCCATGTACTTACACAAACAGTATGATCCCTGTGTTGGCCATGGCATAGGACAGGCCCAAGATTCCACTGCCCATGATGGCATTACTCAGGTTAAAAGAAGACATCCCAAACGAGGTGTGGCCAGGATGCTTGAAGAAAAAAGGGACACATTATAAGCAAATATCTTCCAAGAATGAGCCAGTTTTGGATTATTCTTATTTTCACATTAGCTTTACTGGAGGAGATTATAGCCTGAGATTGAAGACTAAGATAATATCACATGAATACAAGCTTTTTTATTGACTCAACCTCAATAAAAGCATGTATTTTCAATGGAATTCAGTGCTTAGCTCCAGCAAGGATCTCAATAAAAAAAATTAAAAAATACAGGTTGAGTAACACAAAGAAGGAAAAACATGTATGATTGCAGATTATATTTGGGTTATAATGATTTCTCCAAAAAACAAATTTCATAAATGATTTATGTAGCCATATGGCGAACAGGAAAAACAAGCCTTTATTCCAGTAAGGGCCTGAATAAACAGAGAATGTGCTGATCAAGGCTTGGAAAATTTCAGTCACACTGTTTTCCCTCAGAGACCTGGGTAGATCAGACACCCTCAAGTCCTGTTTATTGCCTGAAAGCAGAGATTCACTTACATGTTCATCACCATAATCCGACAGCTTCTTCTTCCCCAAAAATCCATTTGTCAGGAATTTCTGACTTTCATCATCTTCATTAGTAAATTGACTGAATGAGAATATAAAAAGGGAAATAAGAAAATAAACACATCTAAGCAAATGCTCTGAATTATATATGTTTCAGGTGATTTGTGGAACTGAATAAGGGGAGAAAGAAACAGGATGCTTAAAACTTTTTTCTCTCTTCCTCCATACAAGTGTCCCTTCCAACCCAATGACTGAGCTCCAGTTAGGGGAGGGAAGGAGGAAGTTATGGAAGAAGAAATATTGGTGCTTTAGTTGGAATTTTTAAAGCCACATTTCTTCTCCTTATATTAATTGTACAATGAAAAGAATAATTAGAGCCCACTTTGTTCCCACTTAGACCTTTTCCAAAGAAAGATAAAGACCCATAATGAAGGTTTTTCAACTACTCCCACATTATAATCAAATCATTTTGTTAATTCAATAAATGCTTATTAACTGACTAGGCACTGTGGTCCTCAGCTCACTTGATGCTCAGATATACCCATGAGAGGGCTTTTTGTGCCCTGAGTCTAAGGACAAGGTGACTACGGCTCATAAAAGTGGTCACATGCTTATATCCATCAGACCCTAAGTCCAGCACCTTCCACATGTTGTCCCAGGCAGGGGCCTGTAGCTGTTATTTTCCTCTTTTCTGTCTCTGCCTGTTTATTCATATAGCCCTCTCTAGAAAATAGTTCAGTGGTAGCTCGATGTTGTGTATGGTTGTTTTTGTTGTGTGTGTGTGTGTGTATATTTTAGTCACTCTGAAAATAAGGTTGGGTGATTAGACAATGGATGGAACTAAGAAAGCATTAAAGAAACCCAATAAATTATTAGAAGAGTTGGGAGGAAAGCAGACCATTAAAATGTCACTCTTGATAGAATACGTGATTATGGTTTACTTGTGCACAAGCTGGACGCCACACACTCTTGCTATGCTGGTTGGTTCCTATAGCTGCTTGCCTGGGGCTTAGAGGGTATGAACCTAGTACCAGCCAAAGGCTTGACTAATGAATCAGTTGGCACCATTGCGTATGGATGCTGCACAATATCACACAGGGTTTTTTTTTGTTTTTTTTTTGTCATATGAAATGTTCAACTATGCATGCTTCTTCAAAGTGCCTTATAATGAGATTGCGAGTTTTAGGACATTTCTTACATATTAGAGTAAGATAAAACAACTGGAGAATATTTTATTAAAATAAACATTATAAATAAAAAAGTGGAAAATAATTATTATGGGAGATCTATGCCAATTATCTAAACTACTAATAGAGAAATATGCAAATTATCTGAGACACCATCATGTAACGACCAATCAGAATGGGGGCAGGGCCATGGTGGAGAGCTCTCAGCATGCCTACACTGGGGTCTGAAGAGTGCAGAGAGGAAGGGAGAGCAGATAGGCAGTTAGGGGAATCAGGCCAGGAGGAGACCGCAGATAGGCAGTTAGGTAGTTAGGAGGATCAGGCTGGCAGCAAAAAGCAGATAGGCAGTTAGGGCGATCAGACAAGGAGGGGAGCACAGATAGGCAGTTAGGGGGATCAGGCCAGCAGGGGAGCAATTAAGGGCATCAGGCAGTCAGGCAGGGGAGTAGTTAGGAGCCAGTGGTTCGGGATGTGAGAGGGGTCCCAGATTGGAGAGGATGCAGCAGGCCAGGCCAGGGACCTCCCTCCCATGCACAAGTTTTGTGCATCAGGCCTCTAGTATTTAATAATAGGAACTAATCCTGAAATGAACCTTGTGAGGAAGAGGGATGATGAGGTTACTTTTGAGAATAGAGAACAATTATCACAAGTGTCGACAGAACAGCATACAAAATCACAAAGTTCTATGTGCTTTCTAGAACCTAAGGCATGGGTTTTCAAAACCTTCAAGTGTACATCCAGGTTGGAACATTTCCTGGCATTCTCCTCCTATTTCCCATAGGAAGGGTAACTCCCTCAGATGCTGCCTTCTTCCATTTCTGTACTCCACCCCTTTGTGTGTGTGTTAGTCTGTAGTTAATATACTTGCTATGTGGAGACTGGTATATAATATTCATAATTGGAATATGAGACAATAAGATGAAAATGAGCCTAAAACGGGTGTAAGGATAAAAACAAAAGTGATTTAAACTCTGGAATACCCAGCATTGTACTTTTTACTTTAATCAATAAACTAGAATCCTTTAGTCTGTGAGTAGTTTTTAAAATTTAGAATGTGGAAGTAATTAGACTTTTCTCTAAGGCATTTGCATGCTCTTATTTTGGCATGGGATGAACTGTGCTCAAGAAACATGCCAAGATTGTACAAAATATGAGGAATGTCCCCAGTGTCTTAAATGTTTTGATACTGAACCCTGCATGTATTGAAAACACAGTGTAATGATTCCAAATAAATGCATTACATTGAATTTGTCAAAAAATTACATTTCAAACCAAATAAAAACAAAACCCGTTTTAAGGTGATTATAAAATTGGAAACCAATGACCCATGTTTGAATCAGGAGGAAAAGGTAAGGCTCTGTGAGTGGTCCAGAACATGTTGTATGAAGCTTAACAAAAGCGTTCCTTCTCTTTCCATTATGGCTTTTAGAGGAGCAAATGGAATGGCTCCATGGGCTGTCCTGGGACGGTGTCTCCTTCAGCGGGGCCACCTCTGCAGAGCTCCTCTCTGTGTGCTTCCTTCTCAGAAACAAAAGAGCCCGCAGACTTGAATCAGTTTACCAAGGATGATGCAGTAGAGGAGAAAAAACAAGTTTGCTGAGTATCATCTATTCTAGGCATTCATTTTATGGTCAGAAAAGTAGGTATTCGTTGGCCATTCTGCATTTTCTACTAACACCCAAAGAAGATAAATACCTTCTCCAGTGTTAGGCAACTACTATGCAGACTCCAAAGCCCCATGCTTTATCACATTGTTTTTTTCTGCTGGAGAAAATACCATCATTTACTTCTCCAAGGTCTTTCTTTTTTATTTATTATTAATAATTCTCACTCAAGAATATTTTTCCACTAATTTTTAGAGAGAGTGAAAAGAAGGAAGGGTAGGAGGGAGGGAGAGAGGAATGGGGAGAGAGAGAGAGAGAGAGAGAGAGAGAGAGAGAGAGAGAGAGAGAGAGAGAGAGAAGAGAGAAGAGACTGTGAGAGAGAAATATCAACATGAGAGAGACACATCAATTGATTGTCTTTTGCACATGCCCCAACTAGGGCTGGGGATAGAAACTGCAACTAGGTTTGGCCTTTGAACCGAATTGAATCCAAGATCCTTTGGTGTACAAGTCAACACTCTAACCACTGATCCCACTGGCCAGGGTTCCAGGGCCTTTCTAGTCCACCAACTAAACTTCACTGCATTGACTCCTTAGAGGAATGGTTTTCAACCTTTCTAATGCCACAACCCTTTAATACAGTTCCTCATGTTGTGGTGACCCCCAACCATAAAATTATTTTTGTTGCTACTTCATAACTGTAATTTTGCTACTGTTATGAATCGTAATGCAAATAAATATCTGTGTTTTCCGATGGTCTTAGGCTCTACAGTAGCAGGGTCACCTGGGGGAAGGCTTCATAGGAGACCTGCCCTTAAGCTGAATCTTGAAAGTGAGAGGAGTCACTAGAGAGGAAGGGAAAGGTGGGTAGGTGATACTAAAAGAGGGCATTCCAGAGAGATGGAGAAGAATGCGCGAAGACACAAGGATCTGTGAGCGGCTCATCAAGGCGAGTTAAGAGGGTCACACAGGGAGCAGGCAAGAGAGGGAAGTAAGGGACAGATTACAAGGAGCTAACATGCCAAACAATGTATAGTCTCATCTTCATCTTATAGTTAATGGGGAGCCGTGGAGAGACTCTACCCAAGGTTGAAACATGAATCAATTTGCATTTGTAAAAGATTACTTTTGCCCTAGCTGATTTGGTTCAGTGGATAGAGCATTGTTCTTCGGACTGAAGAGTTCCAGGTTCACTTCCTTTCAAGGACACATGCCCAGGTTGTGGGCTTGATCCCCAGTGGGGGGCATACAGAAGGCAGCCAATCAATGAGTCTCTCTCATTGATATTTCTCTCTTTCTCTCCCTCTCCCTTCCTCTCTGAAATCAAATACACACACACACACACACACACACACACACACATATAAATTTTAAAAGATTACTTTTGCAAGGAGGTGGAGGGCTAGTTTGAGGAGAACAAAATGTATAACAGGGAGTCCAATCAGGTGATAGACAGGTGAGAGAGGATGAGGGCCTATAGTAGGTAACAATAGAATGCATACAGAGAAGAGAGTGAATTTGAAACATTAATGAGGTGGATCCAACTGGATGTATTATTTGGGATCAGAGATATGTGGTTTTACAACTGAGGTCTTTTGGTTGAGTTGTTGAATGACAGTGGGGACTTTCACCAACATGGGAATTACTGGAAGAGGAGCAGGATTTGAAAAGAATCACAAGAGTTCCATGTTAGGCATTACAACTTTGACTTCATAAATAAGGCAGTTCAGATACATGAGTCATCCAGTCAAGATGTGTAATAGATGGGGGATATAATGATTTGGATTTCAGTTAAGAAGTCTAACAGGCTAAAGATACAGCATATACTTAGTGGGTAGAAACCATGATAGTTATGAATGAGCTTCCTGATAGGGCACTTTTAGTGAGAAAAGAATCTTTACAGCACTCTGGAGATGGAGCAAATGTTAAAGGGTAGTCAAAGGAAGAAGACTCTAAGATAGAATTGTTCAATAGGTAAAAGAAGTATTAGGCTAATTCATTTAAGTTATTCTATATCATTAATGAGGATAGGAACAATGTAACTTCAATTCTAAATTAGCTACACAAAGGATTGACATATAAAAATGGTGTAATAATCAGTACCTCAGAATGAGGGAGTTGATGTGTTAACATCAATAGCATTGTTATCTCTCAAACAGGTAATGCATTCAATTCTTCCTGACAAACACCCTTGTTTTCCATGTCCATAAATCTGTCTGATTTTCCCATGGAACCTGATCATTTTTAACCTCATACCTGCTCATTACTGCCTTTTCCAAGTTTCCCATCTCGGAGTAGCTATCCTGAGCACTTTCTCCACTGCTGCTCTCGTCATCGCGTCCCATGTTGACATTTGTCAGTTCCACAGGATCCATTTGAGCCGTCAGCGCTTCCTTGTCCACACACAAGCTCCTTCAGTGTCAATAATATACTGTACCTCCAGCTCAAGGCTCTTCCTCTTTGAGTTGGTGTTCAGTACACTCTGTTCTGCAAATAGAACATAAAATAAATCATTATAATATTCTTTCAATGATAAAAGAATATGAATCACCTATTTTGTGTATATTCTCTATACAAACATGGAAAGGAAATAAACTCCTAAAAACTTCACATAAATATTCACAGAAAGATTGACTTGAATTGCAGGAAGAAGGAAAATTATTAATAAATTGCCAAGTCAGCACGTGTTTATATAGTGCCTATGTATGTGAACTTGGCACGTGCTTTGCTAGTAACTGTGGGAAGAAAAAAATAAATAAATCTTAAGATGTAGCAACAGTCTTCAAGAAGCTTTAGCTATGTTTTTTTATTTTTATTGAATTTATTGGGGTGACATTGGTTAATAAGATTATATAGGTTTCAAATGTACATTTCTACAATACATCGTATATTGCTTGTGTGTTCACCACCTAAAGTCAAGTCTCTTTCTGTCACCATTTATCCTCCCTTGATCCTCATCTACCTACAAACCTGTAGGTATTTGTAATGAGATTGCATGGCACTAAAGAAAGGAATACAAAAGTAAATTGATGACAAATAAGATCTACCAATGCAGAATCTATCAATGTCTCTACTAGGAGTAATATCCAAAAATTACCACTTTAATTTGCTAATCGTGTATGAAAGAATTACCACCAAAATGCTTGTTAACATGCAACCCAGTGTAGGATTGGGCTCAGGGAACCACTTTCTAGGCACTTGAATCATGAAGCCAATGTTAAGAATAGAAGCAAAAGGAAGCTCAGGTTTATCTTTGAATCAGCATCAGTCACCATCTACGCAAAATTAAAATATTTGAACAACAAAAATATTTAGCTTTTAGACTCCCCTCTATCTTTAATCCATGAGATCGCAGCTCAAGTTATTTAACTATTTGCCCCTTAGTTTCCTCAGTTGTAACTGAAAAAGGGTAGTCTGGCATTGAGTAAAAAAAACAAAATAAAACATGCTATGAATCCATCATGATGTTGATACAGTTTCATATGAAATTTCTGTTATTAGAATCATTCATTTCTTGTTGAACCATTATATTGGGGGAAATACTATTACTCTTGGAAGGTGTGGTTTTTGGATGTGCACTGCCCATTTGTAATGAAATCCTGAGCAGAGAAACAAACGTAAAAATACTTCAGAACTCATTAAATCTATAAACCCTGTAACAAATATACGTATATATATATAAGCACTTGGAAATGCTTACACAATGTGGTGTTGATGCAGCATATTTGTGAAAGGCAACTCATCTACCAAACACATATGGAAACTCCTTGGGAGAGTGTCATAGGCATGAGAACAATGGCATTCACACCTGAGTTAACTACAGATAGCAAAGCAATTAAAAAGGGATTTTAAATTAATATAATAAAAATAATAAAATATTCAAAATAATAAATACCATCTTTAGAATAGAAGATCAGGCTGGTTTTTAAAAGAGCCAAAAGAGAATTCTAAAAACAAACAAACAAACAAAAAACATAGTAATTAAAATAAAGAAAACTCCACTGAAGGGAGAGTAAAGGAACTGGAAGATAGAAATCACTCAAATTATATCACAAGGAGATAAAGAAAAATATGATGTTAAGAGACATGGGGGTGGGGGTGGAAAACAAGAATAAGAAGTTTAAACACACTGTAACAGGTATTCTAATATGAGAGAATTGTGAGACTAGAGAGTCACAAAATAGAAAGACACAATGGTAGAGAATTATCTGGAACTGGGAAAAAGATGATAGTTCTTAGAGTTTAAAAATAACACATAGTACTTCAAACAGGAGCAAAAATGAATATGTTCATTATTATGACGTAGTTCAAGACGTCATATAGAGAAACATCTTAAAAACCAAAAAGAATAGAAGTCAGAGGGTTGGAAATTTCGGCGCCACACCCTCAACCTCCTGGGTGCGGGAAGAGGCTGAAGGTCCAGTGAATCACCAGTGGTCATGATTTGACCAATCCTGCCTAAGCAATGAAATCTCCATAACAATCTTAACGGATTGTTGCCAGGGTGGAACACCAGAAGAGAGTGTGGAAGCTTACACCCTTTCCCCATGCCTTGTCCTAGGCATTGATGCCATCAGCTGATCTTGAATTCTATCTTTTTATAATAATCCAGTAATCTAGTAAGTAAACTGTTTTCTGAAGCTTCTGTAAGCAACTCTAGCAAATAATTGATTCAATTTACAGCTGGTTTGTCAAAAGTACAGGATGTCTGGACTTGCAATATCATCTGAAGTAGGAGCAGTTTTGTGGAACTGAGCCCTTAACCTGGGGATCTGACAGTAATGCCTAGTAGATAGTGTCAGCTTTGAATTGAATTGTAGGATACCCAGTTAGTATTAAAGAATTGATGAGTGTGAGGAAAACACACACACACACACACACACACACACACACACACACACACACACACTTAGTATCAGACAGAAGTATTGAGAATAGAAAAAAACATTATTTACTTTTAACCAGTATCCATTTTATTTTTCAACCTGCCCACTAATTATTTTTCACAATCATGTTTTTAACTTCTAATAATTTATTCCTACCCCCTTTCTCTTTTTTCATATTACCTTTGTTATTTGTTTTCAGATGCAATTATTTTCTTAACTCTTTCTCAGAATATTGATTGGTAGTTTCCAAGGGTTCTTTTTGTCCCTTACATTATGTATTTTTTTTTTAATCTGGAGTTAGTTATTCTGCTTGTTCATTCTCAGCTCTTCTCTTTCATGCTGCTGGTTTTCCTTGCAGTCTTAGTAATCCTCAGTTGTCTAGTCATATTTATGAACGGAGAGTACATCGTTCAACCGCTAGTGAGCAGGTTGCTCTGATGTCTTGCAGGCGTGCCACGGATGGCTGCTCTCTTGGAGGGCCTGTCTGTGTGGAGTGCCTTTAGTGGAGCCCATGCCCAGACACAGCTGGCCCTCTGGGAGAGAGAGGTTCCTCTGGGAGCAAAATGCTGTGACGTGTTTTCCTCTTGGTGGAGCTTCCAGTCCGCTTGTTACCCATCTTTGTCTGCTGCGGTGGCCCTTAGACCTATTCTAGAGTCCATCTTCAGATTTTCTTTACGACCAGCCTTATCCCATGGGCAAAAGCGGCAGCCCCAAACTGACCAAGATGTCCAAACAGAGCTTGCTTGGTGAATACTGGTCAGTGGTGAATACTGTGATCCAATCCTCCTCTTTGTATATATTGACTTAACTTGAACTGTTACCAGGCTCCCACAGTCCCTCCCAGATTTCCCAGCTCTTCCGGTTCCGAGGAAATCTTCAGATTTTCTGTTCGTGGATAACACTGCTGTTATTTTTCAGAGCTTTTGTTTTGTTTTGCTTTTCTTTTTAAAAGTATCATTTTGTTTGAAGTTTCACTGCTTGAATTCCTCAAGGCTAGGTCCTGAGCCCCCCTTCTTCCAATCCACTCCTAAGATTCCATACACCAAGGATTCCTCAAGGTCATCTTCCGCCCAGGCCGCTACTCGTGTCTCTAGGATAAGGTGACCAGACGTTCTTTCCAAAAATTGGGACTGTTTTAAAACACCGCTGGATGCGGGACAAATTGTTAAAAATCGGGATGTCTGGTCTCCTTACACTAGGTCCATGTGTCCTATGGCCTAACTGATGTATACACTTTAGTATCTCAAAGGTAGTTTAAACTCAATGGGTCCAAAATCTAACTGGTGCCAGTTTCTTCCTCTTCCAATGTTCCCTATCCAAAGAATGTTGTCACCCCTTATCCAGCAGCCTGCTATTATAATGTTTTCTTTCACAAAGTCTGTTTGACTTAACAAATAACTAAAGTATTTCTTAAATTAGTCTGCTTGCATTTTTTCCAATATCACTCTTGGCCGGTACTATTTTTGTCCTTATTCCCATTTTACAGCTGAGGTCATGGAGGCACAGAGAGATTAAGTAGCCTGCATGCTCTGCCACCTCTGGACTACTTGCTGTACTCGGTGACAGAGAACTCAAGCCCACATGGGGGATAGAAACTCTGGCTTTGATGATAAATAAAAGAGGGTATAAATCCTGGCCAAATTAGCTAACTTCTTACTTGTGTCTTCCCACGTGTAAAATGAGGAAAATATCATTTACCGTAAAGCAGTACCCTGAGGGATTAAATTATACAATGCATGTCAAAGTTTGGTATGTAGTGGGCCCTTAATAAATGTAAATCCCCTTTCCCTCTCCCAATAATCAGTATTTTATACCCATATCTACACATGCATAGAACTATACCTTAGGCAATTACAAAAGAGAAGTTTATAGTTCTCAGAACTCTCACAAACATTATAAGAAAGGTAGGTACCCTTCACAAATAAGAGAATTGAGACCTAAATTTAAAGCTACTTTGCCATATATAAAATACTTATTCCATTCTCTTTTGAGGTGATATAACATGATGTTATGCCCCTGGTAGTTTAAGACCTGGGCCCCTCATCCTAATTTTGGCCCCAGTCAAGAGACATCTTCTCACAAAAGTTGGAACACTTTTTCAGAGCTCACATATTTAGCTATGAAGATTCTATTATTGATCTATCTTATGGGAACAACAGCTAAGAGCAAAATTTTAAAAAAAAAATGAACATTAGGAGAAACTAAATATTCTGAACCATTTGCCTGCAGCACAAAGTACATGCTTTGAAGCATTTACACTACATCATGATGGCTAAAATTTATTTTCATGATTAATTGCACTATTCTAATTCAATGCAGAAGTATTTTACAGGTGGCATTTATTTATTCATTCAACAAATATTGAGAATGAAACACGAGCCAGAAACTGGAATTTCCCATTCCACCTCAGGACCTTTTAACATTCTGTTCCCTCAGCCTGGGATGCTCTTCTGAACCCAGGTTTCTCCAAAAGTTAATGAAAAGAACCT